CCCCCAGAAGCCCCCAGCCCCATTTCCCCACCCTGGGGCATCCCGATGAGATCCGCGGGTTTCCGTGGCCTCCGAAAGGGGGGTCGGCGTCTCTTGGGGGCCGGGGGGGGCCGGGGGGGCCCCCTGAGCATGAGGCTGAGCTCCCTCTCCAGCACCTCCAGCTCGCGGCGCGCCACGGCGGCCTCGCGCTGCCGCAGCGCCTCGGCCTGGCAGCGCTGCGCCCGCGAGGCCCTGGCCACGGCCTCCTCCCGGCTGCGCAGCTCCTGGGGCACCCCCGCACCCCCGAGGGGTCGGGGGGTTCGGGGTCAGTGGGGTCACGGGGGTCACGGGGGTCAGCGGGGTCATGGGGACAACGGGGACATGGAGGGACAGCAGGGCAAGGCTGCTGGGGAGGGGTTTGGGGGTCCCAAAGGGGTTTTGGGGGGGGGTCCTGAGGTGGTTTTGTCTGTTGGTGAAGGGGTCCAAGGGTTTTGGGGGTCTTGAGGGAGCCAGGGGGATTTGGAGGGGCTGGGGTCTTTGGGAGGTGTTGGGGCTTTGGACCCCCCGTACCTGCCATGAGCTGGGCGAAGGGCGGGGGGCAGGTGGACGGGATGGGCAGGGTCAGTTTGTTCACGGCCACGCCGTAGGCCACGGCCAGCCCGTCGATGCCCCGGTACGGCACCTCCCCGGTCAGCAGCTCCCACAGCAGCACCCCGTAACTTTGGGGGGGCAGGATGAGCGGGTCAGAGCGTCAGACCCCCCCCCCCCCACCCCCCAAAACCACCCCGCAACTCTCCAGGTGCCCCCCAGCTCAGCGACGCCACGCAGAACCCCAAATCCGCCCCACGCAGGGGTTTGGGCACCCCAAACTCCCCCCCCGGCTCAGAGTTTTCTCCCCCCCCCAAGGACCCCCAGGACCCCTGCCCACCTCCAGACGTCGCTGCCCTTGGAGAAGGTGGATGCCCGGATCACCTCGGGGGCCATCCAGGCGTAGGTGCCGGCCGCGCTCATCTTGGTGGTTCGCTGCCACTCGCGGGCCAGCCCGAAATCGGTGATTTTCAGCGTTTTGCCGCTCACGTCATCGCCCACCACGGGCTGTGCCAGCAGCACTGGGGGGGCACGGCGTCAGGGACCCCCCAAACAGCGACCCCCTGACTTCTGGGGTCTCCTCTCCCCACCTGGAAATCTCGGGGTCTGTGCGTCCTGTCCCGTTCCGTTGGGGACAGCCAGGACCTCCACCCCTGGGGACACTGGGGACCCCCACCCTGAGGACAGCCAGGACCCAAACCATGGGGACCTTGGGGACCCCCACCCTGGGGACACTGGGGACCCCAATATCTGAGATTCCTTACTCCAGGAACCCCAAGATCTCGGATTCCTCGCCCTGTGGACCCCAAGATCTGGGATCCCCCTCCCTTGGGGACCCCAATATCTGGGACTCCCCACTCTGTGGACCCCAATATCTGTGATTCCCTACGCCTGAGGACCCCAATATCTGTGATCTCTACCCTTGGGAACCCCAATGTCTGGGATTCCTCACCCTTGGGGACACTGGGGACCCCATTATCTGAGATTCCCCACCCTGAGGACCCCGGTACCTGGGATTACCCACTCTGAAGACCCCAATACCTGGGATTCCTCACCCTGTGGACCCCAATACCTGGGTTTCCCCACTCTTGAGGACCTTATTATTTGTGATTCCCTACTCCAGGGACCCCAATATCTGTGTTTCCCCACCCTTGGGGATCCCAATATCTCAGATCCCCCACCCTGGGGGACCCCCATATCTGTGATCCCCCACCTTTGGGAACCCCAAATATCTGTGATCCCCCACCCTTGGGAACCCCAATATCTTGAATTCCCCACTCAGTGGACCCCAATATCTCAGATTCCCCACCTTTGGGCATCCTGATGACCCACCCTGCAACCCCCAACCCCTGCAACCCCCACCCCCCATCTGTGATTCCCTACGCCTGAGGACCCCAATATCTGTGATCTCTACCCTCGGGAACCCCAATGTCTGGGATTCCTCACCCTTGGGGACACTGGGGACCCCATTATCTGAGATTCCCCAACCTGAGGACCCCGGTACCTGGGATTACCCACTCTGAAGACCCCAATACCTGGGATTCCTCACCCTGTGGACCCCAATACCTGGGTTTCCCCACTCTTGAGGACCTTATTATTTGTGATTCCCTACTCCAGGGACCCCAATATCTGTGTTTCCCCACCCTTGGGGATCCCAATATATCAGACTCCCCACCCTTGGGGACCCCATTTTCTGTGATTCCCCACCCTGTGGACCCCAATATCTGTGATCCCCCACCCTTGGGAACCCCAATATCTCAGATCCCCCACCCTGGGGGACCCCCATATCTGTGATCCCCCACCTTTGGGAACCCCAAATATCTGTGATCCCCCACCCTTGGGAACCCCAATATCTCAGATCCCCCACCCTGGGGGACCCCCATATCTGTGATCCCCCACCCTTGGGGACCCCAGTAATTGGGATTCCTCACCCTTGAGGACACTGGGGACCCCAATATCTGTGATCCCCCACTCCAGAGACCCCAATATCTGGGATTCCCCACCCTGTGGACCCCAGTATCTGTGACTCCCACCCTTGGGGACCCCAATATCTGTGCTCCCCCACCCTTGAGGACCCTGATGACCCCCCCCCCACCCCCAACCCCTGCAACCCCCACCCCTCCAGAACCTCCCTACACAGAGACCCCCCCCCAAAAAAAATCTCACCATTGCTGGACTTGAGGTCCCGGTGGATGAGGGGCACGGGGGTCCCGGAGTGCAGGTACCGCATCCCCCGGGCCACCTGGCGCGCCCAGTCCAGCAGGACGGCGGGGGGCACCCTGCGGCCGGCCAGCGCCCTGGAGAGCGGCCCCCCCGCCGCAAACTCCATCACCAGGCACAGGTGGGGGGGCTCCAGGCACACGGCCCGCAGCGCCACCACGTTGGGGTGCCGCAGGCGGGCGTAGAGCCGGGCCTCCCGCCGCAGGCTGGCCGCCCCCCCCCCCCCCCCCCCCCCCCCCCCCCCCCCCCCCCCCCCCCC